ACGAGGCTCAAGCTCGCCACGTCCTGGTGCGCAGCCGGTACCGAGTCATCTGGCCCCGTGCTGCAGAGACGCTGGCGGGGCTGCCAGTTTGGATGGAGCTGGGCTTTATTTCATAGGTTAAAAATACATATATTTCCTTGATGCGCCCTTGGTTTTATTTTTAACTCTTAAGCAATTTCATATTTTGTAGGTCTGCTAGTATTTCCCCCGGTTTTCCATCTGCTACTGTGATTAAGTTCTAGCTTTATAGTGCCAACCCAGAGCAAACGGAATGGAAACCTTACCTATATTATTTGGCATGTAGCAGTAGACATGAATAACTTCGGAATTTGTGGGGAAAAAGAGAAGTTATGTGTTTTTGGAGCCAAAATATGATTGGAAACGGGCCCTTGCAGACAGCACGATGCCGTGTCGGATCTAGCTGCGGTTCCTTCTGAGTGCAGCGCTCCAGATCTGCGTTTGTAGGTGTTTCTGAGGGGTCGGAAACATCACTCGGAGGCTGTAAAGCGGTGGTGCGCACCGATTTCCTATTGCCTCGCAGACGTCGAGGCAGAATGATGTGCCAGAGGTTTGCTTTTTTTTTTTTTTTTTTTTTTTTTGGTCCCTCTTCAGTCCTAGATGGAATGGAAATTTGCAGTACGGTGAGGAAGACGGGACTCATTTCCTAAGGCTGTGAGTCGGTGGGAGCTGCAGAGCTCACCCGGGCACCAATGCTTGCCCAGGACCGGTGGGCGTCAGCGTTTTCCGCAGGGACCCGGCGTAACAACAGGGTGCAAGGGGCAAAACCCCAAGGGGCTGCTTCAGCTGCCACTAAAAGAAATGGTCTTTTATGGCCCAAGATGGAAGGTGGGTGTCCAGTATAAAGGTGCAGTTCTTCTTCCTGAGCTGATGGCAGTCTGCTTTGCTGGCGGAGAGCCTCCAGCTGCGTAAGTGCTGGTGGTGACATGAGGGACAGTGAGGGATGACCTGGTTGGGGACACAGGCAGGCGAGGAGAGAGCGGGGCCATCCCTTCTGGCAATGGCAGGGATTTAGATTGTATCAGGAGTGGAATAGTTACGCTATCAAAGGCCTTCAAAGAGTGAACTCTAATTAGATGGAGGGAGAAATCACAAGTCCTGTAGTTAACTAAAAAATGCTGGTATGTGTGAAGCCCATAGTCATATAAGAGCTGGAAGTGGCCAGGAGACATTTGTGAGTCATTTCACTGATCCACAGAGAACAAGAAATCCAGACTACTAATGCATCTGGTTCGTTATGACTCGAGTCAAAGCTATTGCAACTGGTAAGGTCAAGCCAAGCCAATTCAGTAGCCTTCTTTGCCATAGTTACTGATGCAACAGCTACAGGTTATGCAATTAGATCTAGCACACTTGGATTTTAGAAAGCCAATTGGTATCATGCCATGTATGAACATAAAGAAAATATATTGCTTCCCATTTAAGTAAAAATACCATGGTTTAGAAACGAGTTTTCCAGCAGGGAACGTTGTTAACACTAAGACCAGCTGAAGAACAGCGTTATTCCAGGTTTTAGAGAAGGTATGATCTACACCTGCGCTAGTTTGTACAAAGGAACAAGGGTTGTTTGGTACAACCACTGACAGGCTTAGCGGAGGCGTTGAGCAGGGCCAGTGTGCTGGGGCACCGGCCTGGGGGGCTGCAGAAGAGGCGAGCCGAAGGATGGGGAGCTCCGGGGGAACAGGGGATCCCTTCCAGCAGAAATCTCAGGGATGGGGAGAAGGGAATAAATCTGCACGACCATCGGAGAGCCTCAGGTTGGGAGTGAGAACATCCTGCGGTAGTTTCCAGTAAATGAGTGCAATCTGATCCAGTTGCTCAGAAAACCATTCAAACTGATTTATGTGTAAAACGTAAAAGTTAATGTCAAACTGCCTCTGCCAGCGTGAAAAGCCCCGGTCCAAGTGCATTCCCTCCTTCCCGCATGAGTGATGAAGCCAGAGGGGCAGCAGGCAGCAGAAGCAGTAGTTTCCTTCCCAGTTCCCTCCAGAAGAGATGAAGGAAGGGGCTGCTGGGGTGACCCGCCGTGGTTTGCCTCAGCCCAGGGTCCTGCCCGTAGCGTGGTAATGGACTTGCACACAAGCAGGTTTCAAAACCGCTTTCAACCTCTTACTGAGAAGTGAGTAGGTACAAATCATCCACTGCTTACACACAGGGATTTGAACCTGGTTGCACACAGCGTATTAATAAATAACTTCACCTGTCGGAGCAGGGCAGGGGGGTATCTGAAGTGAATTGCAGTAATTGTTGAAATACATGAAATGGTTGTGGGCAGCAAAACGACGTGGAGCGAAGGAGTTCACATTTCAGAATGAGCTCAGATTTAATTCATTTCAAGATGAGATCACTGGAACCTGCTGCCTGGGTCTTGTTTTCCCTGTTTCAGGCTTTCATCCCTGCTGAACTCTTGCCATGACTGAATTCTGCAAAGGTTTCCAGGCAGGTTTCTTGTCCAAGCGCCAGCCTGGTTGGGTAAGCTGATTAGCTGTAAGAAGATCAGAGTTTGACAAGGAGTGTAGGTAAACAGTGAAGCTTTTCCTACAGCTGAGATTTAGTGTAGCTATGAAATATGTTTGCATCCTCGGAGGTAAGGAGTGGTGCTTGAAGAAGCCCCAGGAAAAATACCAAGAAGTGCATTAAAATGGTAAGTAGAACTGATAAGGTACATGGTGAGAGACTGAGAGAAGAATCAAGCATAGATATGATCACAGCCTATAAATACTGCCAACATGACAGCACAGATGAGCAAAAGGAAGAATATTTGTTATCTGATGAAAAACAAGCTTTAGGAAGAATAGTCATCACAGCAGCAGGGCGATGAGGGGATCCCCAGGACCGAGTGGCACTCCTGAGCTGGGATGGAGGGAGATAAGGTCTTGAGGGATGACATAAATAGTTCAGGAACACGCAGATGGTGAGATTGGCAGGAGACTTACGCTGTCCTCGCCTCCCTCGGTGGTCCCGCGTGGACCAGGAGGTGGAAGACCCTTGGGGGTCTGCGGTATTCCCGCTGAGGAGAGGCATTTGCTGTCCCGCCGAAGACGTGGAAGGGCGGTGTTTGAGCCGCTGTTCCTGCCCGTGCTCCCGTGCTGGCAGGGAGGGAAGGTGCTTCAGATGGCTGCAGCAGCCTCCGCTCCCCCGCCCGGCCTCCTCGCAGCCATCGCTGCCCGTGGGCCGCAATGCCACATCTGCTCCTGAATCACGCCCGAGCCCTCCTGCTTTCCAGCCCGGGCTGCACAAATAAACCCAGCGAGAGGGAAATCTGAAACGACGTCTGCGAGGGAGCCGGGTCAGGAGCGGCCCTGGCCCTGTGGCTGCTTCCCCCCAGGGCTGAACTGGGCTGAGAGTCAGCCCGGTCTGCAAATCAGCAAAGCAACCAAGGCATGAAAGTCCTGGGTGAGGTGCAGGGGAAGGTAATCCCGCGTTGTACGCAAGCGCTGCGGTACGGGTGGGGAAAGCCTTGTCTTTGCGATGGGGACGTAGGGCTCAGCCACCCAAAAAGTGTTGGAAAGCTTTGCCGTCGGGGCCAGCCACTGCCAGTTAACCTCGCGGCTCTCCTTCAAAGCCCACCATCCCCTAAAGCTCGCCCGGTTGTTGCGGCGCCCGTCAGTGCTACACTCACCGTCCCGGCGGCACGGGGATCGCCCTTGGAGCCTGCAGTCCCTGTCCGGGGACTGATTCAATCTTAAATTTTGATTTTACAACGTGCCGTTCAGGGTAAGCAGACTGGGCTGATCATAGCAGAGGCTCTTGTTGGTGTTTGTGGCAGCCTGGGCTATCCGCATCCCTCTTTCGTTCCCCGGGACAAGGTTTGTGCAAGGAAATGGAGGATGGTCTGCGCCCCAGGCTGTGTGAGTCCGGCTGTAGCAGACAGTGTTTCTGAGGATCCCCAGGACAGCCTGCTTTTATTAAATCTGTAAAACTGCCTATCGCACAGGTTGGGAAGATCCGTGCTTCTGGAGCAGAGTGTTTCGGTACCTAAACGCCGATTTATTGATTGCTGCTTCTCTGCAGGCTTATTCAACAGCCCTTTGGTTGTGGCTTCTTTTCACGTCTCCTGCAGCCTTTTTAAAATTAATCGTGGAAGGGCCGTGCCTGCCGGCGCTGGAGGTGTGAGCAGCACCGGTCTGACCCCGCTGTGCTGGGCAGTGCCGCAGGGACCGCCCGGCGCTTCGCTCCCACCCCAGCAGCGGTCCAGGACAGCCCGCCAGCCACTTGTGATCCTGAAGGGTTAATTGGGGTGTTGGAGCTGGAGCTGGAGAGGTGCTGGAGACCAAGAGGTGCTCAGCGGGTTTTTTTATTGGGACGGTGGATAGGGAGGCTCTCCAGACTTGGGGTTTGCAAAGCTGTCTCTCCTTCCTGCGTTCTCCGGGAGCGTGAGCGCAACGGTTACGCCGGGGCCTCTCGGGAAATAAACTGCCTTGAGAGCGAGTGGCCAGCCTGGGCTGCCCTGCCCCAGACTACTGCCCGTGGAAAGACAGCTCAGCTGACATCAAAGGAGCCAGCAAACAATAGGCATCACCTAATTGCTGCCTCCCTCCTCCCCTGCCTTCTGGCTCCTTGCTGCAGGTTGTCATTCGCTGCCTCGAGATTGTTATCTTTGCGTGTGCGAGGACGTCAGGATGGGCAGCAGCAGTCCTGCCTCCCGCGTGGGGGTTATCCAGATAAGGTTGCACGCGGGTGACTTTGAGAAACCTGAATAACGTCCTGCTGTTGAAATCAAAGGAAATGGCATTTCCGCATCTCCTTTGGAGGCAACTGGCCTTCTGCTGTCCCCAGCCCTGCCCTTCGGCGCCTTGCGATTCACTGGCGCTTTTGGGGGCAAAGGTGCCGTTTGTAGGGAATGTTTCGGAATGATCCTGTCAACAGGAATTCAAAGAAAACAATTAAAGCAACCGCAGCCACTCGGTTTGCTCCCGTCTGACTCCGCCAGAGCCCAAGCCCTCCGTGGTCCCTCACGTTTGCTTTCTCTTTCTCTGCAGAATGCGATGAACTTGCCGCCCGACAAAGCCCGGCTGCTGCGGCAGTACGACAACGAGAAGAAGTGGGAGCTCATCTGTGACCAGGTAAGGGAGGTCTGGAGGTGTTCTTGGCAGACATCCATCCCACTGAGAGCACCAACTGGGTTTCATCGGCAGTGTCCTTGGGCTTAGAGAGCGATCTTAGAGAGGGACAAGTACTTGAATGGTTTCAAACACTCGTTTCTTTGGCCTTATGCTCCATTACTGGTAACGACACATAGAAACCTTGGAGGAACAATGCCCTTTTTCACCACAGAGTGCAATTCCCCTCTGATATTACCATCACCCCTGTGCCCATTTCCTCTGGGCAGTGAATGCTACTTATTTTGCCCAGCCACAAACCCAGGGACAATGACCTTCACTCACCTCTCCACGGGTGCTTTGAGTTTGGTCTGCCTTGACCTCTGTAACGTGAACGAATGGTCTTGACCCAATGAACATTTGGCTTTCCGCATCACGAGCCGGTGTCGCAGTTGGTGGTAGCTGTTGCCTTCAAGGAGAGGCGAACGGTGAGGCAGCCTGAATTTCTCCTTGCCTCCAGAGGCTGAGCGGCAACCTCGGATTAAGCAGCGCCGTATTCTGTGCGGCATCTTCGGTGGGTGAGCTCTGCTGTGGCGTGCAGACTTGGCAGCAGTATAGAACAGCTAGCGGGTGGGCTCTGCCGTGAGATGTGAACAGAAACAGCATCCTTTAGAGAAAGCGAAGCCTGCAAAAGGTTGTGCAAAAGTGGGGGGGGGGGGGGCGGGGGGTGTGAGCCAACAGCAAAATCGGGTTCTGCCGTAAACTTCCAAAGTAATTGCTAATGAAAATAATCGATCCAGGACTGAGAAAGTGGGATGTTTCATTGAAATGTAAACACAGCAGTACCAGGATGAGAGTTTGGCAGAAGGTATAGTCACGCTGTGAGGTCAGGAACATTTTAAGAAATAGATTTATGGGAGACTTCCTATGTAGCTGTTACAGTGGTGGAGTCTGTGATAAAATCAGCTACCTTGAAGTAAAGCTGAAGAAAGAATGACTTGCTTTTTTTCCACGAGTTTTCTGTGCGGAGAATGTAAAGCGTTGAACTATTTAAAGTTTCGGTTTAGTGAGGCACTGAACAAATTACTTAATCTACTGTGAGTGATTTGTTTCATGGACGTTTGCCTGGAGCATGCACACTCGGAGCGTGCACGTAGAAGTGCGAGCTCTGTGCCGGAGTCTGCGTGCTGTCTTTTGCGCTGAGTTGGCGGCGGGGCAGGCAGGAGCAGTTAGATCATAGCCCCGATGTGCAAGCTCCCACCTCGGAGCTGATCCGCCCTTCGCAGCGTTGGCAGCTGCCGCTGATTCACTGCTCGGCTCCGCAGCGAGGCAGGGAGGGATGAGCAGATGGAAACGCAGCGCAGGAAAATTGCAATCTGGGGTAATCACGTCTCTTAAGAGCTCCTTGCACAAGGCGTGAGTCCACCCCCCGGGTTGGGACGAGTCTGCTCCCCATTTCTTGGAGAGGGCAGGCAGGGAAGGCTGCTGTGAGGGTCCCGAGGGGGCCAAGAGGTGCCGGTGTGCCACCGTTCCAGGGGAGGTGCTCGGGCAATAAGGGGCTGCGTGCCTGTGATTTGTGGCGGCTCCCACTTGCCAGCTGCTGTAAATTAGAGCAGCCTGGAGCAGGTGTCTGTAAAAGCACCGTAATACACCATATGGGGTGTGAAATATTTATATCTGTCCGCCTAATTATGATGCTAAAAGTACTTCCAGGAATAGATGTTGTACAGAATGTATGTTTTTAGTTTGGATGCAAATTTTAACTGCTATTCTCTATTGGTATCACCCCTTGCACCGTTTTCACCTGGTTTTGCTTAGTGAAGGACTAAGGATGTAAATTAATGCAACAGCTTGAGGAAATTAACTCTTACCCCACTGTGCTGGTTTTCAACTTACATCTGAACGGAAAAAGTGTCCAGAGGTCGCTCTTAAATGATGTTTTCTAAATAGTCTGCAAAGCGGATCTTGGCCATTTGTCTGTGAAATATTTTGAGAATATTAGAGGAGAGAATTCATCCCCCAAAATAAACTCACACTTTTGCAGAAGTGAGATTAACAAAAGTGGGGAACTGCCGCTCTCATGATGATGATGATGGTAATAGTAATAACAGCAACAACAACAGTAATAATAATCTGCCATGAGTAGGACTGTGCACTTTGTGGTGACCTGTTGGAAGGGTTGCTGGGCTGGATGTGGAGGACTCCTCCCGTGTGGTATTTTCTGTTTCTTTGTCTATAGTCCTTGCAAATCACCTGAGCGTTGCTGCTGGTATCCTGAAAGCTTGCTCCTTACCTCTCAGGCTTAGCGTACAAGGAGGAAGAGGAGAAGAGCAAAGCCAGGAAACCTGTTGCTCATCCTGGAGAGGGCTGAGGGTGGTGATCTGGGGGGTGTGAGTGTTGGGAAGGATCCCGGGGGGGAAGAGTGCACCATTTCCTGGCACGGTGCTTTTGGTGTACTCTGGGGCCTCTTTATCCAGCCCCGTGCCATGGGGCATTGCTGACGGGGCACAGGTGCTGAGGGAAGAGGCTGGGGACATCTTGCAAAGTTCTTCATTGCCCTCTAATGGCAAATTGTGGCAGGGGCATCGTCATGTCCTCACCTTTGGAGACACCGGAGGGGTGTGTGGGGAATAACAAATCAAGAGACCCAAGATGGAAGTGGCGCGGTTCACATCCAAGGGTTTATTTCAGCTCGTGGCTAAGAAGTGGGCAGGAATGGGCCCTGTTGGGTGCACAGCCCCGGGTGGGAAGGTTGTGTCGTGCTGGTCCCCGAGCCCTCCAGCTCCGGGTGAAACCCCGGCTCTGCCAAAGAGCGGGGTGATGTTTCCCTGGGAGGGGAGGGCTGCCGGGGCTCGCTGCTTGGTGGGCAGCCCCAGCACAGAAATACGATGTTCTGAGGTTAGGCTGTCAAAAATAGACACCCTTCAAGATAGCCTGGGGAAGGATAACATCTGAAACCGGAGAGGGTACCCTTGGACTGGGGTTCCTTCAGCCTTAGGCTCGACAAGCATGGGCTGTAGTGGTTAGAACCTTCTTTAAATGAGGCAAAAATGTTAATCGCTAAGCGCTGTTATATATTGTAGGAGGCCAGTGCCACACATCCGCACACCCTTTAAGCCAGGCTTGCTTCTGCGCCCCTTCCTCCTCTGCCACTTGTTCATCAACCTCTGCAAAGGCAAAACGGTGTTTCCCCTCCGTAAAGCAGGTGTGGAGGGAGGCAGGTTCTCCTTGCTATTTTGAATTTTTATTTGGGTTTTTGTTTTTTCTTGGTTTTTTTTTTTTTTTTTTTTTGGTGAGATCACGCACCACAGACTGGTTGAGAGCGTAATCGCCCAGAGCCGCGGCGGTAACGTCCGGGGAACGCCGACAGATATCTGCGTGTCCTTTGGATTTTGCACCTCACGCTCAGTGTTACCATACGGTGCCGTTAACCCTTTTGCGGCAGAGAGCTGGATGTTTTTGGACAGCATTCAACCAAGCGTCTTCCATATCTTTGCACGTGCTTCAGTAGCCATTTACAGCTCTGTTTTGAGAGTCTTTGCATTAAAAAAAAAAAAAAAATGTTTTGTAGACCACTGAATGTCCCCTGTTGTGGGTGAAATATGGGGTATCCAGTGTTTTATTGAACTCGCCAGCTTTCGGACGATAGAGGTGCTCACGGCTTCATTTATCTGCCTTGCTGGCCCCGAGAGAGGTGGCTCACTGGAATTTGGAGAGCGAGCAATGGAGCAGTCAGAGGTTGTGCCCGGGGCACGCGGGGTCCAAGGCTCCTTGCAGAAGCGCTGGCGACCTTGTTTTGCAGAAAATTAATAGTGGTGGAAAAGGATCCTTCTGCCCCCTAATTAGCGCAGAGATGAACGGCTGCTGTCATTGCATTCCATAATAAGACCTATCAAGTGACATATTGTCGGGGGTTGCTGGGGCCAGGGCTGAGCTGCTCCCTCCAGGGCTGTGTGGGATGGGGTAGGGGTGGTGGAAATTTGCGCCACGGTTACGACGTCTTTGTGCCTCCAGCCCTGCTTGTCCTCCTCCTTCCACCAGCGTTCACCACCCGTGTGCTTTATGCGCTCCTGGCCGTTGCTGCCTGCCTGCTGGCGATTCCGACAGGCCCGGATACCGGGTCGGGTGAGACGTGTGCTTACCTAATTTGTATGAACCCTAAGAAGGAAAGAGGTTAGTGAGGGTAATAATAATAATAACATATCCCACTAATGCAGAAAATGTCCTGAATGGAAGCAAAAGATCTCTGGAAAAGTCACAATTTCCTGGTTAGGGAATTAATACATTTTCCAGATTTGGGTGAGCAAGAGATGTGTCGAGTTCTTTGTAGGATCACGTGGAAGAGGAGATGCAGAAACCTGGCAGTCCATCTTTGCTGCTGAAGTGAAGGCCCCCAACCCCCTTTTTTTGGTATCCTTCAGAAAAGAAAGTGCTAATTCTGGGGAGTGCTGGTAAAAGAAGCACAGGAGCAGTGTCATGCTCCCGCGTCCAAGCTTTTCCCCTGAGTTCTCACCATTTATTACCCCAAAGGGAGGTGCTGGGGACCAGCTCACCTCCCTGCTCTCTGCTCCGGTGCCGCTGGCTCCTTGCGTGTGCTTCTCTGCTCTCATCTGTCGTGCTGGCTTATAGCACCACTCCTCAGCAATTTTTCAAGTAAGAAAGGGCCTTTTATCCTTGGGAAATTAAGTTAGTTTGTTTTCTAGGTGCTGACAAAGGCAGGGTCGAGTTATTGCTGGTCTGTGCCTTTCTCCTTTCAGGGCTGTAGATAGTGGTGGTGCTTATATGAGTCACGTAGTGGAGATAAAATAGGTTTCATCGGGATTTATTAGCTTTGTTGTGTCTGAATGGCCCAGTCCTGGCGCGACCGGGAGGGGAAGCCACCGTGTCCCAGTCGTGATATCACCCACTGGTTTATGCTTTTTGCTCAGTGCAGTTGGGAGACCCAGAGAGGGATTTTAAACTTTATATGTGTGTGGTAAAACTCCCCGACCTCCTCGTTCACATAGCGTTAAACCCCTTGCTGTATAAATTCCTATTTTGAAAGCGGGTTTGGCCAGTGAGCGATTGCAAATTGCCAGAAGAGGGGAGGAGGAGCAGACAGGAAAAAGCAGTAGTTTTTAACTCGTTATTTACGGCAAGTGGATTACGTGTGAAGAGCAGTGCCTCCGTGTTAGCTGGGAAGCGTGTTTGTCTCTATGGGGAAGTAAATGCTCGCAAGAAGGACCAGAGGACCTTGAGAGGACCCGAGCTGGCCAACCTGCCCAGTCACTTCGAGCATCCCTGGCAAGTGAAATACCAGACTGTGATCCCGCTGGGCCGACGAGCACCGGGCCACCCCACGTGAGCTCTGGCAGCACGTCCACTTTTTTGGGAGGATGGTGGCTGCAAGCAGACGTTGGGGGTGTCCCGGAGGCATCGGGGAGCCTTGGGCTGCCGTCGCTGCGCAGCACCGAGCCCTGGTTCTTGCAGCTTGCGACGTATCAGCCTCTAATATAAAACAGTCAAAGCTGGGTAAACCGAGACAGTAATCATAGCCAGGAAAGGGCAGTTTAAAGGCTAATCCCTCCTGGCTTTCCAAAGCAGAAAAAACACTTTAAGGGGCTATAAAAATGTTTCTGGGACTAGTAGATGTTTCCCACAAGTGGTTCTTGGTTTGGGTCCTTCAACCCAAATAGTTCCATTACACACTAACGAGCAGCATCTTTTTTAATGAAGTCGCTGTAGAGATTATTATATAAATACATAATGACGAACAAAACCATAGAGTATCTGCATCACAGCCTACTGAATGTGCGGCTGAGCCTCTTTAAGAATTTAATTTTGAAGGCTCCAGATACTAAAACTGGCAGCTGGGAAAATCTCCTGTCACTTTAGCAGATGATGGCTGATCAGTTAGTAAGAGAAATAAATCTATAAAATAGCTTCTCTGGAGGATTAGACTAAACCCAGCAGAGCTACATCAGGATGAGAGAACCCCCGGAAAGGGGAGGAATAAACAGGAGAGCTAATGTGGAGCACTGTTAGTCTGGGACTCTGCTGTCAGGGGGAGCAGGCTGCTCGCTGGTGCTCTCCCATCGCCCGCCGCTCTTCAGGAGTGGACCTTCGTCCTGGAGCTCCAGAACTTCGCTCCCTCACTTGCAGATGCAAAGAATAATATTCAGACACGGTTATCAAGTGACGCAGTGAAAACACTCCTACCTTCGTGGTTTTTGTAGGGAAGGACATGGTTATTCAAATGCTGTAACGTCTCTGGAGCGAATATGAAACTGTTGAGGGGGAAAATGAGAAACAGCGATGGTCTCCAAGGTCCAGATATCTCTATTAATTCTCTACTAGTCTACAGTGGGCCAGATTCTCATTTACAGCAAAGTGCTTTTTTTGTCTGTCTGCCAGTCTGAAGAAGTTTTAAAATGGGTTAATGGATGGAAATGGCTTCCAGATAACTTACATTTATGCCCAGTGTAAAGCCACAGTCCACACTATCCTGAGGGGGCTGTAAGTCTGAGAAACTGTCCTAACAGTGGACTGTAAAAAGGGCAAAAATTAAGCCATGAATTACGATACTTGGGCAGTTGGACTAGATGATCATTGTAGCTCCCTGCTAACTGAAATAGTCTAGTCTATTCTGTTCTTTTCTATCATTTTCTTTTAACTGATTTATTTTATGTGCTTTTTTTTTTTTTTTCTTTTTTCTTTAAATTTTATTTCCTTTAAAGTCCCTGTCAACATCTGTGGATGTTCCTTTTCCCATTTTCCGGATGCTAGGCCTGACCATTGCGTGCCTTTTGGGATGTGGCAGATGATTTCTGCTTCTGCCACCGGCGCTGCGTGACGGAGCCTCGGCACACCGTTCCCAAACCCATCTGCAACTCTGCGCGTCTGTCTTCCCAACACACCGATAGCGGTTCCAGTCAGCAGCAAATTTAATTAGAAGGGTGTGAAAGGGACCGTCTGGCCCACGGGGACCAGTTGGGGTGAGACTGGCTCCAAGGCTCTGTGCCCAGAGAGCCGAGAGCGAGCCACGGCGGTGGGCTTGGTGCTGGGTGAGGGTGGAGCAGGGCGAACACCCCCGCTCTCACTTTGGCCAGAGAGGAGCTGGCAACCAACAGCTTCGTATTTCCTGAACTGTTTTTTAGATAAAAAGGAATCGCCAAATTCCAGGGCTGTGTTTGGCCCCAACATGTGAGGTTGCATGGAAAAAAAATCCAGTTGTAAACCAGGAAAAAAAACGTCTGCTGTCTGCCTTACAGAGCTCTCACCTGGGGTTGGTGCACCACAGGGCGAATTTTTTAGTTAATTTTTTCCTGCTGACCATGATGAATTACTTTTTTTACAGCAAGCAGCAAGATAATAACAGGAACAACTTTTGGTGTTCAGACAGTACGTTCTGGCAACTGGGCAGCAGTGTCCTATTCATTATGAAATAACTTTCAGATAATGTAGTCAAAATTGCATCCTGACCTAATAAAGGGAGGTTTCAGATATCAGTTATAAAATGCAAAATTTCAGGAGGAAATTGTTACGAGATCTTTCCTCAAGGGAAGGGGCAGAATAGTTTTAAATTCTTCCAAGATACAAATAGTATCAGAACTTTTGGTAATGCTCTTAACAGGTTTGGACACAGCATACTGCTCGTAGAACAACTCGTGTTTCACAGCCGCTTTTGTAGGATAAATTTCAAGCTGGCCACGCAACTGGTAAAGCAAGCAAAAATCAAGCAGCCCTCAGAATACAAACTTCGCAGACGTTGTGTTCGCCATCAGAATCTTTAATTCAGTTGTGAATGTGTCTGGTGCTGGATCAAGTGCCCTCCTGTGAGGTTAGGCGTTGGGAAAACCTCTGGTGAGGAACGAGTCTCGGAGGCAGGTGGGAATTTCTTGGCCCTGGGCTAGCAGTGGGTGAGCGAGATGGGGAGGGGAGATCAGGCACGTGTACGGCAGAAAGCAGGCAAGCAGGCGGGGGTGATGAGGTGTTTTACATGGATAAAGCCCACCATCACTGGAACCTGCCTTCCTCCATGCCTTGAGGTTCCCAGGCTTTCTCAGTGGGATGGGGAGGGGTGGCTGGTCCATAATTGCCCTGGTAAGTGTAATGGTGGCCTTGGGAGGACTTGCAGGCGTGCTTCCCACCACGCTGGAGATCCCTCAGCTCTGCCCTCCTGTGCCACAGGTGCTGAAGGAGACCCTCCAAATCACCAGGAGCTGGGGTGGGAGCTGGTGGACCACTGGCCAAGACAATCCAATTTAATACCGTGGAGTTAAAATATGTCTTGTTTATTGCTAACATACTACTCTCACATTCCTTTTTCTGGAATCTGCACAATGAAATGACGAGACTTCCCCCACAACTAAACCATGCGGTGTGTTTTTAGGCTTGTTCCAAGTGATAAAAAAGGTGTCTTGGCTTTTGTGGTGATGGCTTGCAATCAAACATGGACACGCGTCCGCTCTTCTAACACTTCTCTTTCCTCTCAATATTCCTGGCTAGCAGAAAGCCTGTTATTTCAGATGTGTGTGTTTGTATGTGTAGCTAAAATTCAAAATTGTCATTGAATATGTAAGGTATGTTTTTATGCATCCTATTTAAGTAGCAAATTTCAGAATATCAAGATACATTTTATTTGCATGCATATTGTATATGCATAGATTATGTACTTATGAATATGCTGTATGTACATGTGAAACTATATTATAAATGTAGGCTGTTTAAATATATATGTGTGTGCATGCATTTTGTATATATAGTAAGTAAAAATAGAAGATGTTATAAAATGGCTGACGTTTATTCTTGTATCCTTTGCAGGAAAGATTTCAAGTGAAGAATCCTCCCCATACATACATCCAGAAGTTGAAGGGCTATCTGGACCCGGCTGTAACCAGGAAGGTGAGGAGCGTCCCGTTTCCTCTCACCCATCCCTGGTTCCTCGGCGAGGATGGTCCCGGGGTCCGGGTTGCTTCCTGCCTTTGTGTAAAAGGCCTCGTCAAAATCTCTGAGAAGAGTCTCGGAGATGGAACAAACTGCAGGGAGAAGCCAAGAGAAATTAGGAAGGCGCTGCGGTTTTCAGAGCTCAGAAAGGAGAACAGATGTCTCAAAGGAAAGGACCATCTGACCCAGGAAGCAACTTGTTTTAATAACTTTAGCTTCAATAAATAGTCTGACAGGTTATCGCTGAGCTGGACTCTAGGCCTGACTTTTCACGTGGGCAGTGCTGGTGGTGAATAAAACCTCTGTCGGGTGGCACTTTTCTCACCCATGTGAAGGGAGTGTTGAAGTTTTGCGTCCTTTTCTCTGGCATTTGTGTGACACAAGTTCAGGACAGCTGGCCCAGTTCACCTCTCGCTTGTAGTCTCATCTGAGGTTTCAGGGCTGTGAAATAAAGACGTAACCTGGGGTGTATTTACGTGGCAGAGCCTCATCCATCCTTTTGCGTATTATTTTGTCCAAAATAGTTTGATAATCGCTCGTGAAAGACTCAGGCACTTCACTTGGCCTTTCATGCGAACGCCGTGCATCCCTGAATGTATTTGTGGCTGCTTCTGATATTTCTGCACTTCCCTAATGGGCTTAGTAATAGCCTCCAGGATTTTAGAATGACAGTAAACCTACATCCCATTTAGAAGATCATCGCTGAACTTCTGGTATTTAACCACTTCGGATATCGGCTTATATCCTGTGTTGATAATTGTAATAGCTTTTTTTTTTTTTTTTTTTTTAAAATCCCAACAAAAAAAAGCAGCGAGGGCATAGCAGATCCTGCCATTGACTGGCTCTGCCTTGTCCTCAACAATCGCTGCTTTGTGTTGCTGTACAATGAGCTGAGGTTGGTGCCCCGCGGTAAAATACGCATCCTGACACGGGGCTTGCAGGCCAGGGCCGGCTCCGGCAGAGCTGCACCTCCTCGCGAGCTCGTGAAGACTCCTTGCTAGCTCGTGTCTTCAGGGCTGCAGTAATGTCTTCTGACAGTGCTTCTCTTGTTGGAGGCTCTAACGAGGAGTAGGAAATCATTTCGTAGGAAACCTTTAAATTTGCCTGTAGCTGATTATAGTGGTTTTTTGTTTTTGGTTTTTTTTTTTTTTTAAAAAAAAAAAACGGTGAACAGGCATCTTTGTGTTCTTCTCCTGAAGGGTTTTTGAAATTCGTTTAGTGTTTGGCTTTGCTCTGTGGTTACTCCGTGGGCACACATTGAAGCCTTTCTTACCCTAGTACCATTACAAGAGTCCCATGACAAATGACAAAACTGAAGGAGCCTAAAAATAACTCCCTTGAGTTCCTCTCTTTTGTTGCGTTATTCCGTATCACCAGCAGCCTTTCCTCAGCCTGGGCTGCGAGGTGGAAAGATTTACAAATGGGCTTCTGGATGGATGCTCGACATTGTGGGGAGAGTTTGTCTTACCAGGATTGCTGCTGTAAGTGAGGTGGTGTCAGTGTTTTTGCTGACGATCCCCAGCGTGGCCAAGAGAAGGGGGCTCCATCAGTATTTCACCTTTTTTTCTAGAGCGGTAAGGTTTTATAGTGCTTGCAGTTAAATTGTGTGAGCTCTCTGGGGAGAGAAGGCACTGGGTTTTTGTACTCTGAGCTAATTAACTGAGATCCAGAGGAACTGCATGTCTGATCTCAACCAGCTATTTCAAAGTAAAAATTAATAGTGCCTTGTGTCTACTAAGACTTTACTGTGAGGCATCTATTTCAGTCCGCCAGTGGCTTTTTGAGCTGGGATTTAGTCTCGCCTCAAGTAAGCCAGTGGTGCTAAACTTGTGATTAAACTTGTGGTGTTAAAGCATGTGATAAAACCCTGGTGAAAAAGGCAGCTGATAATTCTCACATAGGTCAGCAAGGCAAGGTAAATCCTACCCTTTCATCATCTTCACCTCAGTAAATGAACTCGTGGGAATTATTAACTGCCAAGCAGTCCCCTTGATTTTATTGGGAGTTTCCTGTGGTGCACTGAGAGCAACCCCTTTTTTTCCCCAAGTATTCAGAGCGTGGTCCTGCTCGCAGCAGCAGCGTTGCTTGCGTCCTGAGCGTTTCTAAGCCCTTTCCAAGCACATCAAGTCTGTGCGTGTGATCACTGAGGACCAAGCTGGCCGTTAGGTACTGCAACTCCAAGATGACTATCATTGTCCATCCACTTCACGAGTGAGAATTTACCAAAACAGCTGCTCCGGAATAATTTATCCAGCTGTTTTAGTACCTTTCCACGGGCTGGGAGCACCAGGCAGGAGAGAAGATGAGTTTTTCTCCACCTGGGAGAGGTGTCTGCACCCCGAAGGAGGCCCTGCGGCCGGTTGGTTTTGCAGAGGGTGGAGAGGAGCTGCTTGCCTCGACTCGAGACGAGTTGGTGTGCATTTAGAGGTCTTCTGCCATGACCAGTACCTGCTCTGGGCCACGGGTTGGGGCTTTCACTGCGTCCCAGTGAGGTTTTGCCAGGTTGCCCTTTCTCCTCTCACCCGGAGATGACACGAAACCTCATCTCCTTTCCGCTGCGGTGTTTTCCTTCTGCCATTTTATGGCCTTTTCCCAGCGTCTGATTTTGCAGATGCCATTTAGCATGCGCAGATTATTAAAGCATGCAGATGGCAGCACATGTGTATTTCATTATTGGCTCGCACCCACAGATTTGGTAATTATACAGAAATCATGGCAGGTTTTTTGGTGTGGGTGTAAACTCGCGAAAGTGAGATTAAAGCACCAGGCTGAGAATGAAGCCCAAATGCTGTTAGTTCTCAGTGGAGGGTTTGATACTAAAACAAAGCTTGTATTGTAGAGAAATGTTTATTTATCTGCAGGCTTTCAATTTTCTTAATCCTGGAAACTCAACAATGTGCATGGGAACAGAAGTTATTTTTCTGAGCGTGTTTTTGTTGACTGCCGGACTATTGTTGCTGCATTCCTCAGGATTTAGAGGGGTTCTCAGTTTACCTTAATGTTTAATTTATTCATTCTGCACTGTGTGAGATGTTGATTTTTTTAATAACATCACATGAGTCTAATTGCTATTTTTGCCTGCTTGCTCAATTACAGAAATTCAGAAGACGAGTCCAAGAGTCTACTCAAGTACTGCGAGAACTGGAAATTTCTTTAAGAACAAATCACATTGGGTAAGAATTTTTGATGTCCTCTGGTCTGAGATTTTTCTTTTGCATCTACTGATGGATGCCTTTGAGAAAATCCCTCTTTGCATGCCAAGCAGTGATACCACTTGATTGATCATTAAAGCCTGAAGGGCTTAGCTGAGGGATAGCTGGGCATCTCAGGAGGATATTTCTGCTTTAATCCTTTCATGCTAGGGTTCATCCACATCTCTGGGAAGGCTGCGAGAAGATTGCAGTCAGCTTCTGTTTACCCTAAGTCAGTCAAAGCAGCAGTGAGCACGATTCTGTCTTGAACAGTAATAGTACTGCAGCTATAAATATATATATATAAAACCCCCATGCTGTTTTATAGCTTTAACATGATGCAGTTCATGAAGTCTGGCTGTGAGTAATATTCCCAGTATTTTACTTCTACAAAGCACAAAATTCCTCTCAAGTAGCAAAAGTAAAAGAATCATGGAGGCTTCAGTTTTTTATGGAACGCGCTGCTCCCATCTGCGTTTCCGCCGGTCTCACCTCTCTGCTTTGGCTCAGCGCTGGCGCATCAGCTGAGAAGGTTCCTTCAGTGTTTTGTTTCATGATCACGCACTCTTTCCAGCTTAATTACAGAATGCTGCTCTTACTTGGTGGAAATGAGGGTGGGAGGAATAGCTGTTCTCTCTCTGGGAGGCAGCTCCCCAGCGTGGCGTGCGTGGCAGCGGGGGACCCTCCCGCAAGCTGCACCCTCGCAAATATTCCCAACAAACTTCTCCCGCAGCCCTGCTCTGGCTCCTGCTATGTTTTCCCTCGTTTTCCAACACAAAGGATTCCCCACCAGAGACTTAGGGCATCTGAAGTGTGACACTCTGCAGATTTGTGACGGCGTCACGTAGAAGGAACCGTGATGGTGCACTGGATAAATACAAGAAGCTGACAAGACCGGTGCTTATTTATTTGGTTCGCTTGGCTCTGAAATATGTGTGTCAAAATACATTTTATAAAAATGCCAGGTTGTTTCTTTTAGCAGGTAAACAGGGAAAGATTTAAAGCCTGAAGAGCAGAATAACTCAGAGCTAATGCATTCCCACTCTGCTGAGAGCTGTGAGGCCCCGGAGGCAGAGCGAGCCCGGAGCCCAGTTCCCTCCTGGGCTCCCCACTCATTCCAGTGGCACCTAACCCACTCCCAGTGGGGTTTTGGCTGCCCTGGCTGGGGTTCAGGGGAGAGCTAATGGGGCTGTGCTGAGGCTCCTTGCTCACCTGACTTCACCCCCAGATGGAGGGATTTTCAAAACATCCTTGACCTTGTCCAGTTTTTGAACGTTTTGGAAAAATAATAGATTATTCTGAATTGCAGATTATTTTGTATAACTCTCAAAACTCACAGCGACAGGTTAACACCTTTCAAAAAGAGAAGGCGAAATTGCTATTAAATACACATCCAGGATGTCAAATTATTCTCTTGCTGATGTGCAAGAAGCTTTTAGGGACTGCTAGAGATCAGGATGTGACAAAAAATAAACCCTGTCCCTGCGACCCACGTGTTAGAAGGCAGCTGTAACCTCTGCTCGGTGGTTTGTGCAGCCAGAGAAGAGCCTGGCTTTGGGGTGAAGCTCCCCGGGCACCCCTGGCCCTCTTGCAGTTACACCGTTGTGGTGGGAAAAGCAGTTACTGACTCCGGAGCTCAGTACTTAGAAGAGTGAACATCTAGTTTCTGAACAATATAGTGTGCACAGAGGGTTTATACGCTTTTTTTTCCTTAGTGGAATGTTTTTCCCATCAAAGTGCTGCAAAAAAAGCTCGTTTCAGTACATTTGTAAAGTCCTCCAAAGGACTGTTTTAAAGTCCTCTAAATAATAAAGGGCATTTTTAAAAAGTCCTCTCTTCCTGAGTGAGAAGGCAAAGTTTTGCTCAGCAGTGCTGCCTTTCCTGCCGTGGATCTGTCTCTAGCTTGCCTGACAAGAATTCCAGTAACTGCACAAACACCCTGATGTCTAATGATTTTTCTAACAGATGGGTCAGGGAGTTCCTGAATGAAGAAAACAAAGGCCTGGATGTTCTGGTGGAGTACTTGTCGTTTGCACAGTATGCAGTCACGTAAGTAAGACATGCCTGGTACTCTCTGGGCTGCAAGGCAAAACAAGAATCCTGCCATCTCTACAGAGCAGGGTAGAAATACCAGAGCAGATGCTCAGCTTTCCTGCTAGTAGCTTGGTGTGATGCTCTGTACGTACCTTAGAGCAGAGAAGATGGTAATGTCAGTCCAAAACTATTGCCTCATAACATTTTGCAGCGACAAAAAAGTTTAAATTTAATCCTTGAGATTATTTATCTCTAAGTCTGCGCTGACCTCCATGCACGAACCGCTTCTCACACGGCTCGGGGCGAGCAGAGCTGTCGGCATCCTCTGCAGTGGATGCGCTGCAAGGCAACCCTAGGAACTTCAAGGTGATTTTGCAAGTTGGGGAGGCTGTAAGACAAGCTTTTTCAATTCTGACACCTGGTTAGTTGGGAGTAAGATTCAGTCATTTGGGTAATAAATCATTACACGTACTCTATTAAAAGAAATTGGGAAAAAAAAAAATCAGCTTTCTCAAACCATTATATCACACAATTCGAAATAGATGTTCAGCTGCAGATCTGTTTTTGTATATCCATGGGCTTTCGTTCAGGATATTTTAGCAGTAGATTTCTGTGTATGAAAAGAAGCGGTAGGTTGAAGATACTGCTGTAGTTAGGAACTCAAGCTGAGCAGAGTTGATATTTTATTTTTAGAAAAGATGCCATCAGATGTATATGTCTCATTGCACAGAAAAGAGGTTGTTGGTGGGGTTGCAGTAAGATTAATGAAGGAAAATTATATGTTTTGAGATGTTGCTAACACTGGAAAAAACTGTGCACAGCAAAAAGAAGTGTTTGAAAGACGTTCTTCCTAAAATTATACAAATGTACGCAAGTTAGCTTGCTGGGTTTTTCCCCTCTCTAACGTGGTAGACATGAGTAATAACCTCAAAAGCTGTAAGAGGAACAAGCAATTTTTGCTTGAAATAGCAGTACGATGGGCAGTGAGTCAGAAATCAAAGAAAATCTATAACGATTATGGTAATATGTTACATATGCTGAGAGATTTGTGAGGGCCAACAAAGCGGTGTAAAGGCTCAATCGCATATTGATGGAGGAAACCGAATTAGTATTTGCACAATGTATTGATGTATTGAAGTAAAATGGAGACAGCTTTAAGCATTCCCACTCTCTGCTTCAAGGCAGGGCTATTCATCAGCAAGGCAGCCAATGCTCTATTTATTTGACGTTGAAATAGAATAGTACGTAGCTGTCGGCTCCTTTTTGAAATTGTGTGGTCAGCTGCTCCCTTTGTCCAGGTCCCAGTTTGCTGCCCTGGGCGTTTGAAGCTCGCCCTGAATTGCAGCCGAAGGGAGGCTAGCCTGCATTTCTTCCCTCCTTTCTTTTGGCAATCTTTCGGGACCTGCTAAAATCTGCAGACGGTGGACAGGAAGGAGAATGCCCTGTGCATCCTTTCCGTCTAACTCGGCGTTGGGATTTCTATTTCCTTTCAGGTTTGACTTTGAAAGTTTGGAGAACAACGTGGAAAACTCAATGGACAAGTCCAAGCCTTGGAGCCGATCTATTGAGGACCTGCACAGAGGCAGTAATTTACCCTCACCAGTTGGCAACAGCATTTCCCGCTCGGGCAGACACTCGACTTTACGGTAAGGCGTTTAATCAGGCAGAGGGTGACCTGCACCCGGTGAGTGCTCAGCTGAGAAGAGTCAGAATGGTTTTGCAACTAGAATATTTTTCATCTTCCCTCTTTTCACGGTATAGGCTTGACATAGATAGGAAACAGGTCATTGTACTGGCGGTTTAGAGGTGGAAAGAAGTGCTAAGCTAGTAACACGGGGCAGCGTTACACAGCGATTGAGGAAGAGACAAGAATAACTCTGCCTCCCTTTCCAATGGCAGAATGAGCTAAGGATGCACGATACGTTTCCATCAGGTACAATGTGGCTTGTACAGAGGAAGCAATTCCTCTTCTCCAAAATATATCTCAAGATTTCCATGGACCCAGCCAGGCTGGGGCTCCGACCTGGTGTCTCGTCCAAAAAGGTCTCTTCTAGCAGCACATTCCTGCCGTGCTGCTATGAACAAGAGGTTTTTATTTTTTATTTTTTTTTTTGAAAGGCTGCTTCCATCCTTCAAACCTGCTGTTAATTCTGGCACCACCTCGGGCTTTACTGTGAAGTCTCTCTTTCCAAATACTGGGTTTTTTTGTTTTTTATTAGTTTGTGGAAAAGACAGGATCACTTCCCAGGACTGAATGGCAGTCAACTGTTACATTCCTTCGATGCCTCACTATTACAAAAGATCCTGAACACCACCTTCAGACGAGCAGTACTGTAACCTAGGGGCACAGCTCAGTGCTGAATGCTTTTTGACTTTTCTTTGGCTTTTATGGAGTTCTGTTCCATAGTACTGTGAGCACAGAAGGGTCCAGAAAAGATGGAGCCAGTGAGGACTTGCAGCTTTTTCCTACATCTTCCAGCAGAGCTTGTGGTTTGGTTTGTCAGTCACTGGTGAAGTTGGCCCTTCCACCTGCAGCCTGATGTGATACCTGGAAGATGTAATTTGCAGACATCAGGCGGTGGAGAGGAGGAGACACACAGTTCTGCTAAAGAGATACAGGCTGTGGGGTCCAGCAAAATCGCTTGAACGGTTGATTACTTTGTTTTTTTTTAAAACATTGCAAAGGTGTTCTTTGTGGTTTTGGTTTTCTTTGATCTTTAATTACGATGGCAGAGAAACGGTAGAGTCTCGTGCTTGCAGGAGGGTGTTTGATTCTGCTCTCCGTCTTTGGGAGGCACGCTTGTGATTAGTTACACTAGAAATGCATGCGTCAGCTATAGATTGCATGTCTTACATTTTTTTTTCTCTTCGTTTCCTTCCATCCTTTTTTCCTTTTTCACATCCCCCTTTATTCCTTACCACCTTTATTTTCCATTTCAACGTCTCCTTCCCCGCGCCCCTCATTCCCCTCCCTCCGTCGAACGCGCCGCTCCAATTCTCTCTCTCGCATCCCTCCTCCCTCTGCTCTCATTCACCTTCCACGCACCGTCAGATCGGTTCCTCTGCCTGAGCAACTTCAGTTCAAACGCTGTCAGAGCTGCTTTGCAGCCACCGGCCTCCAGAGCAGCTTCACTTTGCGCTCTCCCGATGAGGCTTCGAGCCGGAAAATCTCGTAAGTCCCCAGGTGCAGGGTTAGCAGCAGGCCGGGCTGCGCCGGGCATGGGAGCCGCGTGGCTAGCACCGCTCCCCGGGGCCCATAATCTGGTAGCCACACGTCTCGGGGAAGCGGCCACCTGAGCCTCAGGGGCAGTTTCCAGTCTCCTGAAGGTGTGGTTATCGCGTTATAACTTCAGAGCGTAGTTGGCTTCCGTAGCGCGGGGTTTTCTGAAAGCAAGCAAAACGCGTTTTACTTTGAAACATGACACCGGTTTGCTTTATCATATTGCAAATAGTATTCTTAGTTTCAGGCCGATGACACAGAGCCCTTACTCATTGTCCATGCTATTTCATCTTTACTGCGAACAGAAATTTCGCTCACGTCCAAAACTGGCACAGAAATGTAACCTAATGCAGTGGTTTTCAGCCGGGTGCCCCCTCCTGCCTGCAGAGCCATCTCTGTACCGGGGCGGCTTGGGCAGAAACCATCCAACATTTACGTGGAATTAACATCTTTGGTTTACGTTTCCAAAAAAAAATGTCTGTGTTCTAAAATGTGTACTTTTTCAATAGCTGGGGAATATGTGTATTAAAAAAAGTAAAAGCTAAAAGTAGGCGAGAAGTTTGTGAGAAGGGGTTTTTTTGGTATAATTCGTAAATATTGGCTGGATGAAACAGATTCTTCTCCCGAGGACAAGCTTAGGTGGTCATCAGACACGGAGGGTGTGCAGGATGGCATTTCTGGTCCAAACCAGGAGGATCCTGCCCCGGCGCTGGGTAGATGCCGCGTCTGGGACATGCCGAGACCCAGGGCCACAGGCTCTTGGGTGTGGAAGCTCCTCGTCTGTCTTCATTACAAAACCCATTCAAACGGAGGGAAAGGGAGACGCGGTCCTTCCTCTTGCATGAAAAAGGAGAAGGTTGACAATCTTAACAGGGTAATTTAAAATTCAGGAGTTGGACTCATCCCCGCGATGCCATAGCGGTATGAAAAATGAGAACACGCTTGGCCTGGTGGATTCCTTTTTATTAAAACGGCAAAAAGACTGGGGGAGACAGTGTTTCGTGCCTGCTTTAACATTGTGTTTTCTCGTTTTTGGTGCCTGTAAGGCCGTGTCGTGGCACCAGCTCCCCAGCCTGTCCTCAGTAAACCTGCCGTAGCCCTCAGCCCTCTCTCCGGTCCCGGCTGGTGTGTGCTGTACACATTTAATTGTAGCAACAGGAGCAGGAGATAAGCAGAAAGCGAGGCTCGGGGGGACTGGCGGGGTTCTTACCCCTCGCAGGCGATGCGTGGGCACGGAGGCTTTCTGGCTCTTGGCTTGCGTGGCTGGGGCTATCCATTTCTAATTGTCACTTTAACTGGCTTCCCGTAGCTCTTTTTAGTAGTGCTAAACCCTGCCAACTCCCTGCTTACTGGGTTTCCCTGGCAACTGAGGGCTTTTTTTTTTTTTTTTTTTTAAGAGGAGGCACGGGGATTTGGGAAGCAGGCACCAAAACGAGGGCAGAAGGATAAAAACGAGGATGAACCTTTGGGGATTTTATTGCTGCTTTTTTTTTCGGGGGAGAAAGAGCATTACTTTCACATGAGAGTCATACTCTCCTGTCAGATAAATATTAATGCAGACTTCGTAATGTCCCAGCCCATTAGAAATTCCCTTTCTTCCGAGTCAAATACTTCATTTTCTATGTGGATTGAACCGAGAAACTTCATTTCTTCAGAATCTGCGGAGTCCATAATGAGAGAGCGATCCAGGCAAAAATATCTTAATCCATAAACGGGCTTTGACTGCATTCGTGAACTGGACTCAAATTTGACACTGCTTTGCATGCTGCGATGATTTTAAGTTGGACTTTGCCATCAACACCTTCGCTGATCAGGGACCAACTGACTTTGTCACCATCGTTTTTGTCAGACACAAATCCAACAGAGCGCGGTTTTGTGCTTCTCCTGGTCTCCCTGCCTGCAGACCACGATCTCCGCAGCCCTCGCCGGGCGGCGGTGGCTCTGGCAGCGGGCCCTCGTTTCCTCCTGGCCTGCTCGGTGGTGCTGTGGGGTGTTTGTGCTGGTCGAAGTGGGGGAGAATCCCCTGCAGTGCCCGTCGGGGGGGGAGGCAGGCACGCTGCCTTGCTGGGAGGTGGGCGGGATGAGCTGAGCACCCTCTGCGGGTGCGTTCACGTCTCTGGCGGGAGGAGGGAGGGAGACCAAACCCAGCTGTTTTGATTTCTTTTCTCACCTTTTTAAAGCAGCGCATACCTCCTCAGCTTCACAGGTTAATGATTTTCCCAGATTCTGTTAGATGAAGGCTAAACCAGCAGGCTCAAAGTCATTTATTTGCTTGACATTTGTGGCACGAAACAGCTTTGTTGCCCCTGTTTGAAGCGGCAGAAAGGAGACAATTTCAGGCAGCACAGCTGCCGGCTCTGCCTTCCCTTACACGGGTGGGGGAGCTGATTGCACCTCACTGGTTTTAATGCTCACGAGGCCACCGCTGAGCACAGGCTTGTGGCCTTTCCCTCCCTGGGCCACGTCCCCTGAGAAAGGTGCAAATTCAGGGTCTCCACGTCCAGCAGACCCAGCTTGTAGCTTGCCCTAAGAGATCCCAGAAATCCCAAGTTAGGAAGAAGCGCCAAGACCTACCTCTTCCAAAGCCCCTTTCTGCTGCCAGAAGGACAGTCATAATACAACCACCACTGCCTCCAAACCACCACCACCAAAACGGCAGAGATGCAAGCCAAAACCCACCAAACCCCGAGGAGAACCAGCACTCCCAGCCCACGCAGCGTTGGGCAAGCTGCCGGCGGGGCGGTGAGGTCCACCCTGGGCTGTGCCCTCCTCTCCCTGCTCCTACTCTGAGGCAGCCAGTGTAGACAAACGAGGGCCTGGTGTTCTCTAGCAGATAATAAGATAAAAATGGTTGGAGAAACCAGCTGGAATTTGTATTCGTGATTAACGTGGTGCCTTAGAAGTCTATGCCACTGGACTGGGCATGTGTCCTCGTTTTACGCATCAAAGTCCTCCCACTGCAGTCGGTGGAGATGGCAGGAGTTTGCATGGAGATTTACGCTCACTTTCCGTGGTGCAGAGGGTTTTTATTTCCCTTGAGTATCCCAAATTGTTGCGTAGGTGTTTTTATTATCCCTCTGCGGGTCTTCAGTGTCAGCGTGAGCTGTTTTGCACCAGAAGATGCCCTGGCGTGTTCTGTTTTCTAGGTCTTAGTTGTACAAGGTGCTGGATGAGTCCGGGTCACTCCGGACGTTTTCAGCAGTTCTGGCTGATCTCGTTGACAGCGTAATGCGGATGTGGAGGAGGGAGCAGTTTAGCAAAATTAGGGGGTTTGGGGCTGCTTGGGCTGAATGGTCCTGTTCAACTTTCTGTGGGAGGCTGGTGGGTAAAAGCGCAGCCTGGTCTCCAGAGGCATCATGGCAGGGCCTTTGCAAGCACCAAATTAACAAAACTGTTAAATTAAATCAAAACGATCAATGAGTTATGCCAGAACAGAAATGTACTTCTGTTAGATCCGGGCGAGAAAAAAGAACCTGAAACCACCCCGTGTATTTTCAGCACAGGTTTAGCCTCGGTTTTAACGGCTGTTGGTTTTCCCACGCGGGTGCAGCGTCCCGGCTGTGGAAACGCCACGTCCTGCGTGCTTCCCCCACCTCCAGCAGCAAAGGCAGGGAGCTGTGGAGCAGCTCCCTCCCCACGGGTGACATCCCGTACCCACCGCGGGCGGCTGGCAGGAGGAAAGCGTTACACGCTGCAGGAGCTTGCACGTGGTCAGGTTTTCTGTTTCTGCCTTTTTTTTTTTTTTTTTTTTTTGTTCAGAAGTAAGGTTTTATAGTTCTTCTTTAAAGGAGGGGCAGAGGAAATAAAAGAGGAACCATCTGAATTTAATTAGCAGGATAAATATACTCTTGGTGACATAATCTTTGACCTGCAGCAGACAGGAAATCAAAACCAACGATTCATCCAGATGCTCGGATCAGCCTGATGTTTAGTAACAAGAAATGAAATAAAAGCAAAAGAAGATCATCCACCCTGGCTTGGCTCATGTTGCGTAAAAGGAGGTGTTAGAGCTACTGCCCTGCCTTTAGGAAGGAAACATCAGGAGTCGTTGGAATTGCCACTAATACAGAGACAGCGTCTTGAGCCTAATTCCAGTGTGCAGAGTCGTCGTAAAAGAGTTTCTGTACAAAAAAAAAAAAAAAAAATCCTCATTAATTCTTGGCATTCACGTCTGTGTGAAGAAATTTGCATCTGTTGAAGGGAAGCGATCTAAATCTAGGGCAGAATCCCATCTGTGCTGGAGATATTTCCTCTGCACTGCAGCTCTCGATTGCATATTCTGTACCCGTTTCTCAGCCTCATCATAAACTCACACGGGGTGGAAGCTCCGCGAGCCGGAGGGTGTGGGCTCTGGGTCTCACTGCTGCCTGAGGAACACCCCACACCTCGGGAGGGAGGCAGGGGGGGAGGCAGGGGGGCTGCTGTGGAGCCGGCGGGGGGGGTCACTGTGGGTTGTGGGGCATCTGCAGCCCTCGCTGGGTTTCTTGGGGTGTCTCTTCCACCTCTTCAGGAGAGGGGGGGGTATCGTCTTCACCTCAAACTTCCCTTCTGGTGCCTGCGTTGCTCTTGCAGCTTTGGTGGGGGAGGCTGGGCGGGTGGTGAGCGGCGTGGGGGGGAGCATCTCTCCGTGCGGGAGGCTGGACCCTGAGCTCACTCCCCAGGGAGACGGGACCCAGCGTCCTGCTGCGTTGCAGAGTATCCTTGCTCCCCGATTCTCCTCCTCCTCGCCCTCCGAGCAGCTAGAAATGCCGAATTCTGGCTTCGTGGTCATCTTTTATTGGTTTAAGGAGACTCGCTCCCCTTTGTTACAGCTGTCAGATGTTTAAAGGCATTCTGAAATTTAAACGAGTTGATACACCAGGCACCGAGGGAGATTTTTTTCCTTCTATCAGTGGCATGATAAAGATCTCATTACTCCGCTTATTTAAAATTTAAAGGAAAATAATATATGCAGCCTTAAGTAGTTTAAAACCGAGAGAAATCTTTGCAGGCATGATCTCTGCGTGACTAGAAATGACTTCTACATCTTCTTACAGCAGGGTTTTTCCTATTTAGTGAAATGAACGTATGGAAGTACGCTAGCGTGGTATGGTTACACATCCTCCAGCCAGCACTGGCCGCGCTTCCACACCTCCCCGTTCAGACTTCATTGGGGGCCCCCAGTTAAAGGCTGCCCTGCTCCTCTTTTGTCTCCGGAAGGGAGGTTTGGAAGGCGAATGAGTCCCCAGGTGCTGGGTCTGTGTGTGGGCAGTCGGCCCGTCCGTGGGGACGAGGGTCACTCAGCGAGGGTGCTGCGCGGCGGGAGCCCGGCGGGCGCCCCCTCCCTCGCTTGGGCTTGGACATTTCGAGCGAGAGAGTTTCCAAGTGTGGTCTTTGTATGAGGGAGAGAGCTAGTGAGTCAGAATAAAACAAGACTGTTAGTGCTTGTTTGTGTATGTATTATTCATCTTTACCACGGTTATTCATAATAATAATTACGTTAACCACTGATTTTAAAAGCCACACCTCTTTTTTAAACAAAATGAGTAGCACGGATTAGGCAAGTAACTGCGCAGTAGCATCAGCAGTAAACAGGGCAGCCCCCCAAATGCACTCAAAATATTCAGCGGGGAAGAAAGAGGAGAAGAGTGAAGTGTGATCACACCAAAGCCATGTCTGATACCCGCTCGGACGTTCTCCAGGAGCAGACACTTAGAGCACTTGCTTAGTACAAACAAGGCAGGTACCCGGCGATGTTTCTCCTGCTTCCAGCGGTCTGTAGATTTAAGCATCTTGATCTAAGGTTTGCATCTTGCCTTGAATAGTTCTCGATGGATTTTTTTTTTTTTTTTCCCCCCTGTGAGTTGGTGTAAGTGCCTTTGGAGCCCGTGAAGAGCTCCCGCTCTCGGGAGCAGCGTGTGGAGAAGCGCCTCAAAAATCACCAGGTTTGCTTTGGTCCTGTCACCTGATAACGATACGTGACGGCACAGCGTTCCCGTGTTACGAGAAATAACTCCAGATCATTCCCTCCTGACTCCCTCCGTGCCACTCACGCTTTCTTGGGGCGTTGGGACCGTTCTCAGGTGGCGAAGCCTGGGGCTGCGTGTCCCCTGGAAGCCGTCCCGTGTTCCAGCTCCCCTTCTGGCCCCGCCTCGCCGTGCGTTTCCAGTCGTGCTCCGAGCCTGTGCTGGGTACCAGTATCGATTCACTTCACCTCTGGTAGGGACTGGAGTGAGAGCGAAGGATGCTGTAACCCAGAAGCTTTCCCCACTGCAGTTGTTTTCCCAAATCAGGGAGGAGAAAAGCCTTCCCATGTATGTTCTCCAGGCTGCAGAGGTGGCACTGGCAAGTGTGAGGCCAGCTGCAGTTGTGTGAAGAAGCCGCCTTTTTACTGGAGGTTGTGTTTACTCCAGCAGTCAAGCTTCATCGATGAACTTCCCTTTCCTCCCCCGGTGGAGTTGCTCTTTGCATAACAAATATCAGAGCTTGCACATCACTGCGCGTCCATCACGTTGTTTTTTTCTTTCTGTCTTCCCGTCGGCTTCTTCTTCCATTTTGCAGCCCCGAGTGCGATAGTTGGAAAAGCAAAAGGATTATTGGGCCTGCCTTGAGGTTTTGCTAGCCGGTGAGCAGATGCCCTTCTGGTCTCTGCTCTCACCTGCATAGCTGTAAATCAGGAGCAAACCCCTGGGTGCTACAGCCAAGTGAGAACCTGCCTGGACCTCCTCCCCAGGCTGTTTTTTTGCGCTGTAAATTGGAGGACGAGGATAAATAATGTGGTTTTCCAACCCCAAACACCACCCTGGGGGCAGCCCGCACAGCTTTGCAGGGGATCTCCGGGTCCCTGGCGCAGCCGGGGGGGGCCCCACAGATCCCTCCCGGTTTGGATGGGGCTCGCTGGGGCGGCGCGGCGGCACCACGGACACCGTCGTGGTTTTGCAGCAGTTCGTGGATCACTGTCAAAAGAGTTTCTAGACCGTAATGAGAATCTTCTCGTTGGTTATTCCATTTCACATACGTAAGAACATATATGTAGTTCGTATGGCAGCCCGTCTCCTTGTCTCCAATTTCCTGTGCTCAGCTTGTGAAGCATGTTTTTTCTTAAAGAAAATAAGCAGTATCTCAGGAAGAGCTGAAATGTGGCTTTCATTTACTGTGCCGTAGAAATAACAGATTTAAAGATTTCCCTTTGTGTTTATTCCATGTACTTATTTGATTGAATTCAATGTTGATTTACCAGTTAGGGGTTACAATTAAAACAGTTAATGGCTTTTTTTCCGAGGAAAGTTCCTAAGGGCTGCATTTTCCTCAAATAATTTGGAGGGCTTTCAGAAAGCTCAGCTGCAGAATAGAAGAGAGGCACCATTCTTAAATGACATGCAGCGGGCATTAATACATTTGCTGATGCCTACGAATGTTCAGTTCCATTAAAAGTCCGTGCCGTTTCTCGTGCAAAGTAAATTGCGTGGAAAAAGAAAAAAAAAAAAAAAAAAAACAAAACCAAAAACCAAACCAGAATGCCTCTTCTTGAGGGTGAGTCGTTCCTTCCCCGCTGCGTGCTGTGTGAGATGGGCTGTGCTGGGGCTGGTGGCATCGGTGGAAAGGCTGACAGGGGCTGGGCTGGCCCTGGGCTGGGCCACGGTGGCCACCAAGCAGGCAGGCCAGGAGCCCTGCGGCTGGCGCTCCCGGTGCTGCCAGGGTAAACAGCCTGGCACCTTTCTTCCCCTTTATTTGCGTGTGTGTCTCTGCAGAACTGAAAGATGTCTGCGTTTTCACCCATTCCTTAACGCTTACCCCCTAAAAACCGCCTTGTGACTGACGAGAGCTGTTTTCCTTTGCAGGTATAACACCTTGCCAAGCCGAAGGACATTAAAAAATTCCAGATTAGTGAGTAAAAAAGATGATGTTCATGTCTGCATCATGTGTTTACGGGCCATAATGAATTACCAGGTATTTCCCTTTTTGTTCTTTTGGATCACATACCTGTTTTGTTGTTGGGAGCGGGGAGGAGAAGGTTAGTGGTGAATCGTTGAGGTAAAACCGATGGAAAGGTTTAAATTCTAACTCGTGTAACGTGGTCCTCGTGTACCCACGCAGATGATTTGGTACAGATGTGAGGACACACGTAGGTAAGAGCACGTGTGTACGGGCCAGTTTTTGTTTGCAGTGGGGGGGTTCAGGTTGCACTGACTGAACGGACACTCAGCTACACAGCTGAAGTTACAATTTGTCTCAGAATTTAGTACCAACGCTTAGGAAATACGGGAGTTTTTCAGGAGAGCTACACACTGATGGGAAGTCCAAGCTTTCACTCTTCTTACGTGTTTATCACAAGGCAACTGCAATAACTGCAAATCGAAGAATAAACTAGACCAAAGCTGATCTTACTTTCACGAGTTTCTTTTCTCTTTGGTGGGATGCCTGCAATCACAGGGCATGCGCAGGTAGCTTCTGAGACTCAGGACTTTTTGCTAAAACAGTAGCAGCTAAAAGTTACATGCTTCAAAGGAAGGCTGTGGTGAACAGCTTTATGACAAGTTGTCTGGTCATACAAGGTGTATCTAAACCGGCTGCGTGTGTGAACTCTGCCCTTGGGGATACAGCTCCCTGGGATTTCCAGCGTGCCTTACCTCTGCTGGAAAGGATGCAAACAACAGTTTTGAGCTAATAACCAATACAGAGTTTTCCAAAGCAGTTCTTTTTTCATTTTTGGAGAGCAAAGCCAGCAGTACTCGTTGCAATAACTGCACGATGCAGTCACTCTGTGGCAGCATGGAAAAGAAGAGATTTTGGCAGCTGAATTGCAAATTCCTCTTTAGAGAGTAAATGATGTGCTTGTCTGTCAGAATTAAAAAGGGGGTGGAGGGAGGGAAGGATGAACAGAGGGGTTGGCAGTGGTGGTGGAGCAGCTCTCGGAGCCCTTTTTGTTGGCTGACATGGCCCAACCAAGTACTTTGAGCACTGTTAGTGGCAGAGAAGTTGTTAGACACGGTGGTCGATGGAAATGTTCTGGCTCGCTTGATAAACTCGGCAGCGTTTTGTTTGGCTTACAGCATTGCGAAAGGCTGCTGCCAGATCTGGTCAGAGATATGTAATCTGTTGGATTTTGAAAAGAAGAATTTCAGTCTCCAACCTGAAACGATATTTCCCCCTTCTTTTTTCAGTATGGATTCAATATGGTCATGTCGCATCCACATGCCGTTAATGAAATTGCACTAAGTTTGAACAACAAGAATCCCAGGTAGGCTGCCCTTGCTTTTAGGCAGTTTAAGAAGTAGGTAAGTAAAGAGTACTTGGAAAAGGGTTTTCAGGGAGGTGATTATGCACAAACCTGTAGCAAAAATCAGACTTCGTTCTGAATCAGATTAAACCTGTATTATGGTGCAAAGAGATGAGCAATTGCCACCCAGCTCCTTTGGTTTCAGGAGCTACTGACTCTTCAGCTGAAAATTTGCTGCTTAAGCACTCCAGCTCTGTTGCAGCGCAGAGAAGTCCCTGCTGATAACGAGCAGCTGAGCATGGGATTTTCCTGAAGAGTAGGAAAATCTTCTTGCCTAAAGGGTCCTTAGATTTGAATTTCTTTGAGTGAGGGTTTATTTCTTGTTGGGTGTCGGGTCGCTGTTCGGCCACAGTAAGGATTTTGCAAGCGGGCAGTGGCACTGACTGTGTCCTTCCCTGGGCTGTGTCCCCTCCTGTCCCCACGCACACTTGTCACCCTGGCAGCCTCTTCCAGCAACGCCTGGAGCTGCAGAAAACTCTTGCATGTCTAACAAAACCAAACCTGACATACTGATATTTGCAAGGAAAGGTAAAACTGAGGGATGAGACAGAAGTAAGCGGCACTATGTGTGCGTATATAGAGCCTTTGCTTAGGCTGTCTGCTTGCCTTACAGTGCACTGCTTGAAATCTTGTCCTGATGGAAGTAGGTACTTCCTTTATTTAGCCCTAAGTCGGCAAGCCTGGCCACAGGATAAATGGGAAGGATGTAGGAAGTTTATCGTTTTTATCGGTATTGGTGTCCTGTGCCTGGAAATCAGGTGATCGAGAGAGAGCCTAAGTTTTCATTTTTGAAAGAAGTGGATTATTTGCATTGCTGTTATTCAAAAAAAAAAAAAAAAAAGGTGCTTTCAGATGTCGCTAAAGTAATTTGAAGACAAACCTTCCTGTTAGTGCTGTTCACAACCCGATTTGTTTTAGCCGCATCCCGCTTTTTGAAGAAAAAAAAAAAAGCAGGGCTGGGCACCGGGGCTCCGTCTCCTCTGGCCGTGCCCAGGCGGGTGCCACCGATGCAGCCATCCCCTCCCCATCCCCTCCCTGTCCCCTCCCTGGCCAGCATCCCCCGTCCCCCGGGCTCTCCACTCACAGGGATGGCCCCGCACGCACGGCTCGTGGCCCGGCCTCCCGGGGGAGATGGAACCCCCCCCTTGATCCTCTCTGCCAGAGCTTGGGTTTTCTCCTTGTGGCAGGAAAAGAAATGGATGAGTAAGAATTGAAAATGATACATTTAAAATTTCCTAGGAAGGTGAACATTTTATCTGGTTTCCAAAGATAGCCTTGACACTTTGAAAGCCAAAAGGTATTTCTTTTTCTGAAACATCTGGTTTGAGTCAGTGCTTTAGCATGAGACTAATTTCATATGTGTCTGCATGATTTTACTGTCTGCTCAAAGCTCATCTGGCCACAGAGTCCGGTTGGTGCTTTTGCCTTACGTGAACCCTGTCAGAAAGTACTGGAGAATATTTTTATTAGAGTTACACTGAGTCTGCTGCATGCTTTTCTTTGGATAATCTGTTGTCTTCCCTCATTAATATGCCTGTGTTAGCACTGCTGTCAATCGGTTGCCCACATTTCTGATTCAAGGGGGAAAAGACGTGCTGAGGCATCCTATACTTACTTCAGCAAACCACGTCTTACTTTTTTTGGTGGCTATGAATAATGCAGATTATCGTAGGAAATAATTCAGATTTGTATCCGGAAAAATACAGATTTGAATTATAAGCACACAGATTAAAAACTGGGCTCTGAGGAGATGGGCTGGGTTGTGGTGAAGCCGGCTGGCTAATGGCTGACGTGTGGTGATCCTGGCTTGTGTAAAACCGCCTCCTCTCCGGGTTGGTGCAGGTGAACTCTCCGGGAGTCCAAGCCCTCGAAGGCTGACGTGGTCTGCCTTGACCGGAGTTAGGCAGCTGCCTTTGGTTTGCTTGAATTTCCCCAGCTGTCATTCGTGATTTAAATTTTTGCATGTTTTGAGAAGCGTTAAAATGGGGGGGAAACTGCATGATCCTGGGAGAGTCACAGTGCCCTGGATCAGATGATGCTCAGCATTATGCATCCTTACTAGTTTCAAGAAAATACAAAGACACGGGACACAAACTTGGCCTCCTGGTGTCTCCACACCCATTTTGCAAACAGGTTGAAAGAGGATGGTTCATCACATGGTGGTCACTGACTGTCACGGTTTCTTTTCTTCACAGGACAAAGGCGCTTGTCTTAGAACTTTTAGCAGCTGTTTGCCTCGTCAGAGGAGGGCATGAAATCATTTTATCTGCATTTGATAACTTTAAGGAGGTATGTTACTCTGCTTTATTAGTATTTGATGCGCGCGTCGTTAGCTCTCTCCCATGGTGTTGGCTAGAGCTTTCTCATTCAGCTAAATTTCCTAGAGTCCGTCGGTCCCTTTGAGCTGCAAGGGATCAGGCAGGGATGTTGATGCTGTCGTTTTGCACGCTTTTGTTTAAAAGCCACAAGCCCAACAAGACGGCTCCAGGCTGTGAATTGCTCCCTTTACCTTTTGGTCAGTCAAGCCGTGTCCCCGCAGTGGAAAACTAACGGAGATCGTGAGAGCTTTGCTCCAGATCTTGTCTCAGAACACTTACGTTCTTAGATAAAGCAACCAGGAACGGTGTGTTAGATCTCTCATTTTGAGAGCCATTTACACAAGCCCTTGAAACGCAAAACTCCTGGTTTTACTATCAGTAGAAACTTTATTAGGGAAGAAATGACTAAATCGAGTGTCTGTGATGAAACAGTGACTGCTGCAATTAATGCGGGTATTCCAGTAGGCTCAAGTGGGGCAAAATTCATAGGTGTATGCGTTCAGGCGTATCACATGTTTGCATACAGTTGTTAATAGGATTTGAGAACATTGTAGGAAGGTTTAGAAGCCCTAGTGTGGGAATCAAGTCCTCGAAAGCTGCTGTTCTAGTTTATTTTGAATATTGGATATATGTGTGAATTTATTACGAAAGAAGAAATGAATCTAGACTTCCCGGCTCAAAAATTATTAGACTTGATGAGTCCCAACTGGACTGTGTATAAACATGTAGCGTGTTTTTCCTTGATGCTGCTGTTGCTGTAAGTGGGTTAATGCAGGTGATCAGCAAGCCAAGTTATTAATTTTGTTTTTCTCCCTTTTTGTGCGCTGGGAATTATGTCTGGTGGAGAGATACCAATCTCTGATTTACATCCAGTGTAAATATTTGCATGTCGTAGACAAATGACTGTATTTGTGAGGTGCTCGTCGTTAGACAGAGCCAGGGTAAAAGGTTTGAAGTAATCTCCAGCGTGGGCCTGTTGTAGAAACCTCAGCTGTGCAGGACCAGACCTGCCCGAGACATGAGCTCTGCTGTGTATGTAGAGGTGGAGCTGCCCGAGGACAGAGCTAATGGGAATGGCACGGCCGCTGCTGAGGCTTCCCCAGCTCTCAGGTGGAAGTCGACTTGGAATTTTTGTGTGACCGTGGAGAAAGCCTTGCTCCTGGGTTACACCAGCCGAGGGGGGGGGTCAGGATACGGAAATCGGCCGTTCTGCTTCCAGCTGGGGGAAGGGCTGCAGCCCTTTGATGCAGGCACAGAACTGGAAATTGTGCTTTGGCTTTTTCATTTATTCATCGGTAGCCTTGGGCAAGCTGCTGGTATCTTTGTCTTTATTTGCACTTTTGTGAAATTAAGGAATCACAGAAGCAAATGCAGATGAGATTGTTCTGAAGAACAATTGGGTAATATGAGAGAAGTGCTTTAAATAGGAAAAGCACTGTAAAGATGCAAAGTTCCACGTTGTTTTTCCAGGCTTAAATTCTTCTGCCTTAGTACTACTCTGTTCCAAAGGAGGAATAATTCCTTAGGGAGGACGATGTGAGGGATTACGGGTAAATTGGGCAAATGGCTACAGCCGAAGTACCGCCGGTCCAGGCGGTCTGTAAGGCTCATCAGACAGGCCCTTTGCAGGTCGCAGGGAAGGATGTGCCAAGTCCCATTTGCTTTTTTACCTTCCTTGACACCTTTAGTTGAGGTTTTGCTCCTCCGTTTTCTTCCAGGTGCACTATCTTCTCTCTTTTCTCCTGCTGACACTCAAAAATTCCTATGTGACACTTTCAGTTTGTCTGCCATTATTTATTCCATTCCTGTTTGTGTTTGATCAAGTCATTTGCTGTAGTGGGACTGTTGGATGTTGCAGGTGAAGCGAGCGAGCAAGGAGGGGATTTTACCTTCCTCAATTCTGCATTTAGCTGTTCTTCCCTTTATCCAATTATGCTGCTTATTTCTTGCTTCGTGCTGTTGTTTTCCAGCTTCCTCCCGGGCAAGTTTTCAGTCATGGTTTCAAGTTTTCATGTTTATAACTCATTCAGCTGGTATATTAAAAAACTCTGAGTTGCTGACATGTAAAGTACCCAGGGTTAAATTTCTAGCAGTATACTTCCAATTTAAATTGCTGTAAGCTCAGTAGTATTTGTGTGGCTTCTGTAACTATGCGTTGCAGGGCTGCCACAGCTTCTCTGTGGTTCTTTCATCAGACACTGTGTGCATATTTAGGACAGATTAGACTCGTCGAACTAGATCTCTGCCACTCTGTCTCCTTGCCATAAAATAACTTCAAAAGAAACCTGAACTCCTGCGTAATACTCACCCTGTAATAAAGTCAGTAGGGAAAACAGGATATTTCGGACCAAATTCTGCTCTTATTTACATCAGGGCGAATATCAAATATTTCATTAGGCTTTGAGCTTTGCGCTGATGTAAATGAGAACAGAATTTGGTTCTCAGGGTCTGACTGAGCTGGAAAACCGCAGTTGATCTGAATCTAGACAAGAATTCTTTTTGAAAATGACTTTTCATTTGAAACTGATTTTACCAGGCCAGTTTTTTCTCTGGCCGGGCTCAGGATGTTCAATTGGAGGACGGTTTGTTTTGTTAAGCCGCCTCTTGAAAATTATTCTTGTCCAGTTGGTTCCCCTGAAATTGCTGGTTCTCGGGCACGGGTGGTTTCTCTTTGAGGGGGACTCTGTGCATTAGAGGTGTCACCCGGTGCTCGCTTCTCGGCACAAGGTCACAGTCGTGTTGAACGGGTCAATTCTGAACGCAGGAACACGGGGCTGTTTCAGAGCCGCCAAGAATTCCGCGACAAACGAGGAGCTGGAGTTGAACAAAGCAAAACTCAGCAGGAAGAGAAAATCCAGAGCCGTTGTTACTGATGGAGTTGAATAAAGCAGAACTCAGCAGGAAAAGAAAACCCAGGCCCGTTGTTACTGACGGGGAATGGAGAGAAGGAGAGGGAAGGAGTAAGCTGGGGTGGAGGGAAGGAAAGGCAAGGTATTTCATACAAATTTCATTAAAGCTGAGGAAACCAGCCTTCACGCCATCGCGCTGGTAGTGGGAAACACCAGCCCCCTGATTCAGGCGAGTGAGAGGCAAAGCTGTTGAATACACTTTTTTTTTTTTTTTTTTTCTAATTTGGCCAAAAGGCAGAAAGCGGTTCTGATGAAATCCTTATCCATATGGTACGGAATAGATCAAGAATTTTAAAGGAGACATCAGTATTAGTTTCTCATCCGTCTTTGTATTCCTCCTCTGTGTTCTCTGTAACCCTGAAGGAGTTTGCACGTTGAGTGCAAGCAGGGGATGGTTGAGGTCAGTCTCTCGTGGTGCATGGGCCTGCTTTCTGCAGCCTGCTCTACATTTTGAGGGCTGTTCGGCATTGACAGAACGGCAACTTCCAGCTCTCCAAAAGGGAAATGCTTCAAATGTACACACACCTTCTGGGCTTGGTCGTTCCTTCCAGGCCAGTGCAGACGTTGGGGGAATCGTCCCCAGTTTCCAGCCTAAATTCAGCTCACCCGGGAGGTCTTGACCTGGCCTAAACGGGAAAGAAAGTTCAAATTAAACTGCAAAGACCCTGTCCCTGCTCCTTGGTGGATTTTTATGCCATCCCGTGTTTCTCTTTTCGAAGATGCTACTTCCCTAACTCTCACTGCTTTTGAAGTCCAGGTGCTGCTTAGCCTCTACGTGAAGATGAGCCTCAGCTGCTCGGCCCGGTCAGATGTTGGTGGTGAGGAGCAGCATTAGCCCGGCAGGCCAGCAGATGTTTTGGTTTGGCTGCAGCCGCTCGCGGTGCCGTCAGGCCTCAAAGGGCTTCGGAGCTGTCCCGGCGCAGAAGCACGAGGGGGTTGGGGTGGTGCTGGAGGCTGCGGCTCAGCCCCGGCGGCGGGAGCAGAGCTTTGCCTTTGCTGACATCAAGCAGCTCCAGCTGTGCTCCGCAGCTGAAAAAACTTCCTTTTTCTGAGTGCTGCTTGGCTGAATTCGGCTGTGTTTACGGGAAATAGCTTGGAGTTACCGTGCCACAGGTAACCCATGGGAATAGCCGGGGCGTTTGGCTGTTCCCTTATCTTTTTGACACTTTCTGGCCTGTTGCCACTTCTGTTTGCAGCCACCTCTTCTTCCCAGCACCTCGCACGGAAGGCAAACACTGCTCGAATGGGATATGGCAGCCTTGGCCGGGTGAGCTCTTTGGCACGGCCGTGACCCCTGCCTTTACCCGCTTGCCAGTGGGCTTCCTTAGCAGCATTCCCGGCCCTTTGTCCTTGTTTCCATGGATTTGTGAGAACAGGCTACGCGGTTTTATCCGAGTTGCCTGGGATTTGTGTTGCAGTACGAGCAAATGCACTTCAGCAGAATGCCAGGGGAAGAAAAGGGGAGTGGAGTTTGCTGCAAGACAGCTTTGGGGGAGCTCGGAGGGTCACAGACCAGATGCTAAGAGCTCGTGCCCCCTTTAAATTGAAGCAGGCTGAGTGCACTGTTGGAAAACAAGATATATTTTCCTGATGCTTATTCAGAGTAGTTAATTCATTTTAATAGCGTGATCGTATGTGTGGGTATACAGAGAATTAAGCTGCCGTCTTTACTGCCAACAGTAAAACTTTGGTTTACTATTATTTCATTGCTTACTCCTCTTACTGTTTCCTGAAAACGCTGGTTTGCATTTGCAAAAGCGCGTTGCGCTGGGGCTCCGGCGGGTCTGTGTCCTGGGGAATCTGCCTGTGGCCGTCAGAAACGGGGTGAGCCAGCACGCTGCACGTGTGCGGCTTCTCACACGCTTCTGCTGCCTTCACACGGACCCAGCACGGGGACTGCGCTGCTTCAACCCCGGCGTGACCTGAGGAGAGAGGCGATTGAGTTTGGATTTGTGTTCAGGAGAGTTGTGTCTGACTGCTTCTGATTTCACACACTGTGAGCGTAGCTGCAGTAGGGGGTTAAAGTTGCTTTTGTTATCCCGAGGTGCAAGTTTGCTGCTGC